CATACGGCCAAACGGCCAAAAGCGACGTTCTTTTTAAGAGGACAGGTTGATAACACGAGCATCATGCAGCACCAACATCCACTGGACCAAAAGGTTCTGATCAAACTGGACTTTATAAATGCTTTCAACACCGTGAGATGAGATGCGATATTCTGTGTTGTGCATTGCTATTTTCAGCCCCTAAACCCTTCCATTCTATCGTGATACAGTGGGAGAATCAAAATTGCTCTTCGGCTAACACGAAATCTGATAAAAAGGTGTCGAGCAAGGTGCTTCTCTAGCCCCCTCTTCTTTTCGTCTTAGTATTTAAGAGAAATATCTTACAATGTACCTGTTAACACAATCGACTTGAGAATGGTCCAGGACGGACCGAAACGTCGTCGTCCCTTCACCTTCTAGTGTGTGGTCTGGTCAATATACTTTAGCCCAAGTGAGTGAAATATTATTATCAACGATTATTGTTATTGACAATGTGAATCTGTGTGTGTGTGTGTGTACTCACCTATTTGTACTCACATATTTGTGTCTGCAGGATCGAGCATTGACTCTTGGATCCCACCTTTCTAGCCATCGGTTGTTTACAGCAATGACTCCGGTCCTATTTCCCTATCATATCTGGTTTTAAAATTATGAACAGTATTTGCTTCCACAACCTGCTCCTTAAGTGCATTCCATTTTCCCACTACTCCCACGCTAAAAGAATACTTCCAAACATCTCTATGACTCATCTGAGTTTCCAGCTTCCACCCATGTCCCCTCGTTCGGTTACTATTCCGTGTGAACATTTCGTTTATGTCCACTCTGTCAGTCCCCCTGAGTATTTTAAACGTTCCTATCATATCCCCCCTCTCCCTTCTTTTTTCTAGTGTCGTAAGGTTCAGTTCCTTCGGGCGCTCTTCATATCCCATCCCTCGTAACTCTCGGACGAGCTTCGTCGCAAACGTCTGAACCTTTTCCAGTTTCCTTATATGTTTCTATTGGCTGGGACTCCATGATGGCGCGACATACTCTAAGACTGGTCTCACGTAGGTAGTTTAGAGCGCCCTAAATGCCTCCTCACTTAGGTTTCTGGATGATGTTCTAACTCAGTGTGTGTGTGTGTGTGTGTGTGTGTGTGTGTGTGTGTGTGTGTGTGTGTGTGTGTGTGTGTGTGTGTGTGTGTGTGTGTGTGTGTGTGTGTGTGTGTACTCACCTAGTAGTACTCACCTAGTTGTGCTTGCGGGGGTTGAGCTTTAGCTCTTTGGTCCCGCCTCTCAACCGTCAATCAACAGATGTACAGGTTCCTGAGACTACTCAGGACAGTGTGTGTCCTGTGTGGGTGTGGGTGTGTGGGTGTGCGTGTGCGTGTGTGCACGTGTGCACATACCAAGAAACAAGCAAACTATCGTAGCAGCACTGACGTCACCCATTAGAGAAGTCACACTGAAACCATATCCGCTGAGTCATTCTTCTTCCCACAAAACATTAATTAGATCAATTACTTTATCAACTAAATTAGATTAATTATGTCAACGCTAAATTATTAGGTCCAAGATCTCAATGAATCATATTCTGCCTCACTGACTCTTAGCTCTTGTAGGTGGCTCTTAGTTCCTGTAGGTGGCTCTTAGCTCCTGTAGGTGGCTCTTAGTTCCTGTAGGTGGCTCTTAGCTCCTGTAGGTGGCTCTTAGCTCCTGTAGGTGGCTCTTAGTTCCTGTAGGTGGCTCTTAGCTCCTGTAGGTGGCTCTTAGCTCCTGTAGGTGGCTCTTAGTTCCTGTAGGTGGCTCTTAGCTCCTGTAGGTGGCTCTTAGCTCTTGTAGGTGGCTCTTAGCTCTTACAGGTGGCTCTTAGCTCCTGTAGGTGGCTCTTAGCTCCTGTAGGTGGCTATTAGTTCCTGTAGGTGGCTCTTAGTTCCTGTAGGTGGCTCTTAGCTCCTGTAGGTGGCTCTTAGCTCCTGTAGGTGGCTCTTAGCTCCTGTAGGTGGCTCTTAGTTCCTGTAGGTGGCTCTTAGCTCTTGTAGGTGGCTCTTAGCTCTTACAGGTGGCTCTTAGCTCCTGTAGGTGGCTCTTAGCTCCTGTAGGTGGCTCTTAGCTCTTGTAGGTGGCTCTTAGCTCCTGTAGGTGGCTCTTAGCTCCTGTAGGTGGCTCTTAGCTCCTGTAGGTGGCTCTTAGCTCCTGTAGGTGGCTCTTAGCTCTTGTAAGTGGCTCTTAGTTCCTGTAGGTGACTCTTAGCTCCTGTAGATGGCTCTTAGCTCCTGTAGGTGGCTCTTAGCTCCTGTAGGTGGCTCTTAGTTCCTGTAGGTGGCTCTTAGCTCCTGTAGGTGGCTCTTAGCTCTTGTAGGTGGCTCTTAGTTCCTGTAGGTGGCTCTTAGTTCCTGTAGATGGCTCTTAGCTCCTGTAGGTGGCTCTTAGCTCCTGTAGGTGGCTCTTAGCTCTTGTAGGTGGCTCTAGTTCCTGTAGGGGCTCTTAGTTCCTGTAGGTGGCTCTTAGTTCCTGTAGGTGGCTCTTAGTTCCTGTAGGTGGCTCATAGCTCCTGTAGGTGGCTCTTAGCTCTTGTAGGTGGCTCTTAGTTCCTGTAGGTGGCTCTTAGTTCCTGTAGATGGCTCTTAGCTCCTGTAGGTGGCTCTTAGCTCCTGTAGGTGGCTCTTAGCTCTTGTAGGTGGCTCTTAGTTCCTGTAGGTGGCTCTTAGCTCCTGTAGATGGCTCTTAGCTCCTGTAGGTGGCTCTTAGCTCCTGTAGGTGGCTCTTAGCTCTTGTAGGTGGCTCTTAGCTCCTGTAGGTGGCTCTTAGTTCCTGTAGGTGGCTCTTAGCTCCTGTAGGTGGCTCTTAGCTCTTGTAGGTGGCTCTTAGTTCCTGTAGGTGGCTCTTAGTTCCTGTAGATGGCTCTTAGCTCCTGTAGATGGCTCTTAGCTCCTATAGGTGGCTCTTAGCTCTTGTAGGTGGCTCTTAGTTCCTGTAGGTGGCTCTTAGTTCCTGTAGGTGGCTCTTAGTTCCTGTAGGTGGCTCTTAGTTCCTGTAGATGGCTCTTAGCTCCTGTAGATGGCTCTTAGCTCCTGTAGGTGGCTCTTAGCTCTTGTAGATGGCTCTTAGCTCCTGTAGGTGGCTCTTAGCTCTTGTAGGTGGCTCTTAGTTCCTGTAGGTGGCTCTTAGTTCCTGTAGATGGCTCTTAGCTCCTGTAGGTGGCTCTTAGCTCTTATAGGTGGCTCTCAGATTGATAGATGTAAAGAATGCCTCGTTTTGCAGACTAGGGGAGTCCACAGATTGCACCAGAGCTGTGCTCTATGAGAACCACTCGGCTCCTTGTTTTGACAAAGAGCTTCAATATTAAACCATTTATCATGCCCCCCCCCCCCCCCTCTTTATTTTATTATTTTTTAATTATTATTTTGAATTATTGCCTCCAAAGACGCATTTCAACGTATCGTCCAATATAAACATCAATTTTCTCATATACATTATCATAATTATACAACAAAAAAAATCATAAAACCCTTGAAAAATGCAAGAAATTCCACATTGGAACGGATGAGAAATCTTGGATTTTCAATTTGACCTTGCAAGAAGGCTCGTCAGAGCGTGAGGACAGTGGAGGATTATCTTATCTTATCATGTATAAATGAACAAGTCTACAAGGGTCGTGAGCGTCTGGGGAAGATCTCGGACGCAGGTTCGAATCCTCGTCACGGCCCCTTGTGGATTTTGTTCATTTGATGCATCACACTATTGTGATTTCATGTACTCACCTAGTTGTACTCACCTAGTTGTGTTTGCGGGGGGTTGAGCTCTGGCTCTTTGGTCCCGCCTCTCAACCGTCAATCAACAGGTGTACAGATTCCTGAGCCTATCGGGCTCTGTCATATCTACACTTGAATGTGTGTTATCATGTATGCTAATTTTTTATGTATAGTTATCCCTAGTTTAGATTAGGTCAGGTGTTTTTTGTTGTGTTTGGAAATTAATTATTTTGTTCTACATTTCGTCGGTGGAGAGTTCGGAGAGGAGAGATATTCGAACATGGGAAGTGAGCGAAGCTCTGTTCAAAAGAAATGTTCAGACGTCACCTGTGACGAGTCGCGTGTGTTCGTTATCCTAAACTGGGAAGCTAGGTGCCTGCTAGGTGCCTGCTAGGTGCCTGCTAGGTGCCTGCTAGGTGCCTGCTAGGTGCCTGCTAGGTATCTGCTAGGTACCTGCCTGTTAACCTGCTAGATTAACACGCCATTAATCGATGCTAACTGTTCTCAGGAAATGCGCGTTCGAACCTAGCCCCAGGCCTGGGCTCGGGGAAGGAGAAGAACTCCCGAAACCCTATACAGGTACGCTCCAGGTATGGCTCATCCATGCGGCGGCCGACCCCAAAGATGCGAATATTTTAACGCGCTGTTTATTCCAAATTGGTATTTTCGTTCTGTCATTTACAGAACGTGATTCATTTTTTACATTTACAGAGCTGCGATTCGGACAGGTGACGTTCAGCGAAGCACTGATCGAAATGACATCAGTTGTGAGTCGTGTGTAAAGTTGTTTTTCATTTATAAGCAGGGCCTGGTTTCGAGGACCGGGCCGCGGGGACGTTGAGCCCCGAAATCTTCGCAAGGTAACGGGGTTAGGCACATGGATTAGCACTTGGTATTTGTTTATTAAGATATATATATATATATATATATATATATATATATATATATATATATATATATATATATATATATATATATATATATATATATATATAGCATCTCTATTCATGAATATAATATATAATCTACTATTCATGGTGAGTAAAGTGAACAACAGGTGATGTGGAGGAGAACAGTTGAAATATGGTAGAAGAACAACAGGTGATGTGGAGGAGAACAGTTGAAATATGGTAGAAGAACAACGGGTGCTGTGAAAAACAGCAATTACTCTCAGAACAGAAAGCTGGTTCATTTAAGCCTATTGATCCTGTAGTTGAAGAACAATAACAGGAGAACATATCACAGGATTAACAGGCTGAACATAGAAAAAAACAGAAATGATATTTACCTTTAGTTTCTCCAACAGCGGCGTCTGTTGGAGCCGTTGACAACAGGAAGGTGAACAACAGAACTCCCGTTATCATCCTCCCGTTGTACCCGTTGTTGAAGCTGGGACTCCTCCTCCTGTTGCAACTGTTGCTTGCCCGTTGCCTCGTCATGTTTCAACAGAGTTATCACTTTTTCCACCAATATATAAACAATCAACAGATCAATTACAATTAACCAATTATTGTTTCAATTAATAATATGCTGTCATTATTTTAATAATTATATCTCTATGGAACACAATTGAGCCCAATTAAGCTAATTTTCTCGTAGAAAATGGGTTGTCATTTCTGATCCAATTTTTTTTCTTTTGAAATGGGCTCTTTTACACTTTTTCAAACTTAAAAAAAATCACTGGATATTTTTTTTATTTAATCATTCATTTTTTTTTGGTAAATTGAGATTTATTTTCAAATTTAAGTTCACCTGAATTTTTGTTTTTCAAAACGTTCACAGATTTATACCTGGAAAAATAAATTTACGAAAATGGTCAATAAATACAAAAATACAGTAATGTGTAATACAGTAATGTGTAGTTTTGTTTGATAGAACTTGTAACTTGATAGAACAACAGCAAGTTCATCTCTTCCTGACCTTGAACAAGTACAATCATAAGGCCAGGGGGCAACAATTACAATACCAAGTCCAAGAGCAGCAATTACAATAGCAAGTCCAAGAGCAAAAATTACGATACCAAATCCAAGAGCAACAATTACTATACCAAGTCCAAGAGCAACAATTACAATAGCAAGTCCAAGAGCAATAATTACGATACCAAGTCCATGAGCAACGATTACGATACCAAGTCCAAGAGAAGCAATTACAATAGCAAGTCCAAGAGCAACAGTTACGATACCAAGTCCAAGAGAAGCAATTACAATAGCAAGTCCAAGAGCAACAGTTACGATACCAAGTCCAAGAGCAACAATTACGATACCAAGTCCAAGAGCAACAATTACGATACCAAGTCCAAAGCAACAATTACGATACCAAGTCCAAGAGCAACAATTACAATAGCAAGTCCAAGAGCAACAATTACGATAGCAAGTCCAAGAGCAACAATTACAATAGCAAGTCCAAGAGCAACAATTACGATACCAAGTCCAAGAGCAATAATTACGATACCAAGTCCAAGAGCAACAATTACTATACCAAGTCCAAGAGAAGCCATTACAATAGCAAGTCCAAGAGCAACAATTACGATACCAAGTCCAAGAGCAGCAATTACGATACCAAGTCCAGAGGGCAACAAGTTCAATACTAAGTCCAGAGGGCAATAAACTGAATACCAAGAGGTGACTGGGACAAAGAAAAGTCCAATGAAGACACCCCGGGGGGAGGGGGGTGGATATATGCACAGATATATGTGCACAGATATATGTGGAATATGTAGGTCAGGTACACAGACATGTGGCAACTGTAGACCAAATTTGACGAATGTAAACAAACACACCCACATGCTGAGAGATGTGCATTACCTCATTTATACGTGTAAACTGAGAGGTTTACTGTAGCCCAGGAGGAGACCTTTTGTGGTATACCTGCTGGATTGGTCAGCTAAGCTGGTTGGGGTGTTGGCCTTAAATAACCCTCCACATAGGTCTTAAAAGTCCAATATCAAACTAAGTGAAAGTTGATTTTTTTTTTACATTATTCATTTATATTTTGAAAGGAATATTGAAATGATGTTTATCAAAGATAATAAAAATATCCGGCTTTTTTTCTAAAATTCGTCGACTACTGAGAAAGCAACATTTATCTTGGAGCTTTCCTTGTTCTACTTGGGACTTTACTTTGGTTATGTTAATAGGACTTTACTTTGGTTATGCTACGGGGGACTTTACTTTGAATATAACACAATGTCGACCTCCGACACGCAGTCGACTTCCGACACACAAGCCCAAGGCAGTTTAGAGCAATCGAGGTAATTGATTAGAGAGACGATGAGACTTATTGAAACGACCTTCCGGCTGTTAGCGTTCTCTGAGAGGCATTTTTAACGCTGCTAGCGTTCTCTGAGAGGCGTTTTAACACTGCTAGCGTTCTCTGAGAGGCATTTTAACGCTACTAGCGTTCTTTTAGAGGCGTTTTAACAATGCTAGCGTTCTCTGAGAGGCGTTTTACCACGGCTAGCGTTCTCTGAGAGGCGTTTTACCACGGCCAGCGTTCTCTGACAGGCGTTTTAACACTGCTAACATTCTCTGGGAGGCGTTTTAACACGCTGCTAGCGTTCTCTAAGAGGCGTTTTAACACGGCTAGCGTTCTCTGAGAGGCGTGATCCCTACACGATACATCTTAATGTTTAAAATGCCTTTTTCCCAACCTTCTAAAATGCTTAAAAAAAATTAATTTCACGTTGATAAAGTTTACATTTAAAATAGCTGTCAAAATAATGCCAGTAATTTGTGCAGGTTACTTAGAGCATATTTTACGTCAGGGTCATGTGGGTGAGATGTTGTGAGTTATAGATTACTTAGTGAGTTGTAGTGAGCTATTTAGAGATTCCTTTATGAGTTACTCATAACACGAGGCTAGGTCTATCTATAGACAACACATGTGAATCATTCTTGCACTGAATTGAGCAGTGACTCATGGTTGATACTGATCATTGTGATGAGTCCGTGAGTGAGGCAAGCCCATGAGTGAATGAGTGAGTATTCGAGTGAGTCAGATGCTGGTAGAGTGAGAAATATTGGTAAAGAATAGCTGGAGGGAGTGAGGAAGAGAGAGAGAGAGAGAGAGAGAGAGAGAGAGAGAGAGAGAGATAGGGGGGGGGGAGAAAGAGGCAGAGGGAGAGGAATGAGAGGGAGAGGAATGAGAGGGAGGGAGAGAGACGAGGTCCGGAGGAGCAATATCTTCTACTTCCCGCTTTGGCTCTCTACCCAGAGGGAGAGAAGGGAGAGATGCCTCTCTACCCTGGGGGAGTGAGGGAGGGATGCCTCTCTACCCTGGGGAGAGAAGGGAGGGATGCCTCTCTACCCTGGGGGAGTGAGGGAGGGATACCTCTCTACCCTGAGGGAGAGAAGGGAGGGATGCCTCTCTACCCTGGGGGAGTTAGGGAGGGATGCCTCTCTCTACCCTGGGGGAGAGAAGGGAGGGATGCCTCTCTACCCCTGAGAGAGTGATAACCAATTAAGGGGAAGTGGGGAGGAGTGTTTCCTTCCGGTGAGATCTGGCAACGCCGCAGCAATTAACTCAGCTGATAACTTTGCAACAATAAAGTAAGGTGGCAACACTGCAATAGCAAAGTCAGGTCCACACCTGCAGTCAAAGCAAAGTCAGATCCCATCCCATCCAGCAAAGAAGTTGTGAGTGTGCAACATTGCACCAGCAGAGTGCTTAAGGGTAAGAGAGTTATAGGTAACCGGACGCCGGTTGCAACCAACCACTCTGGCCGCTCCCACGTTTCTTAACCACCATCTTGATAACCTGACAATCGCCATCACCAACCACTCTCTAAATATTTGCACAAGGATATTGCAAGACGGGATAAGACCATTGGCACCTCAAGACGCTTCAGAATGCATCTTTTGTTGCTTTCGGTTTCTAAGCAACATCTATGAACTTCCTACTTGAGTTTCTTAGCAACATCTACGAAGTTTCAGTGACTGTAGGTGTCATTTAAGATATAAAATTTATTCGTTGTGTTAGTCTTTGTATTATAGGGAGATAATTTATTGTAATATAGGGAGAAGGTGCTTTAATATAGGGGAAAGATGTTGTAATATAGGGAGGAAGCTGTTGCTATCTAGGGAGAAAAAGGGTTCCATCTAGGGAGACACACAACAGGGGTGAGTTATAGCAGGGAGGGAGGACGGAAAGGATGAGTGAGTGAGTGAGGGAGAGAGAGAGGGATGGAGGCCTCATAATTGACCTCCCACTCACAATGAGAGCTCCGACCGCCGGGCCAAGCGATAACAACCCCTCACATTTTCCCAAGTATCCTACTGCTGCTGCTGCTGGTGTTGCTGCTGATGCTGTTGCTGCTCCAGCTGCTGTTGCTGCTGCTGCTGCTGCTGCTGCTGATGCTGCTGCTGCTGATGATACTGCTGCTGCTCCTGCTGCTACCTATCCGTCACTATAATCACTCGACGCCTCAAATATTCTTAGAACATATGTTTTGAAGCAGTGTCTGCCAAGGTGCTTATGTAGAGGGCTATTTATGCCTCTCCGTTTGGGCTACTCTCCAGGAAAGACGGGTTACGTTTTCCTGTTTGCTGGAGACGCCACGGATCAAGATAGCTTTTTCTTGCACACTCGCGGACGCCGTCGCAAACGCACTTTCGCGAATGCAACGTCGCAAAACTCACTCTTGCAAACGCAACGTCGCACACGCACTTTAGCGGACGTACCCGTTGTAAACACGTTACTGCTTCGTTTTTTCAACACAATCTTTACGAAATCGATCTTACGACTACGAATGACATGATTGACACTGACGAGGATATTGTTGACACCAATATGCCTCTCAACAACTATCCCCCCTCTCTAGATCCCTCTCTCTCTCTCTCTCTCTCACTCTCTCTCACTCTCTCTCCCTCTCTCTCTCACCTCGATCAGCTCTATACCAATACCCCCGCGAGCACTGCCTCTCGTGGAAGCCCTCTAACCACTGGTGCCCACAGCCTGCACTCCCTGACACTCTGTGTCACCCCCCTCCCCCCCACACTGGCACTCTTCTCCTACCCCCCCCCCCCCCCACAGTGCCCCTCTGGGGCTTCCACACCCACGTACCCTCCGCCAGTGCCAGTCAACTTGGCACCCCTCACTGCTGGTCCGGCGTCTACCTCATTGTGTGAAAATGTTGGACTGACGTTGTAGATTTAGAGAGAGAGAGAGAGAGAGAGAGAGAGAGAGAGAGAGAGAGAGAGAGAGAGAGAGAGAGAGAGAGAGAGGAGTGTGACAGAGCTTCAAATTACATATATTAATTCATAATCCTTATCTATAAAAATATGGGACAAACGCAAAAAGTAAAAAAAAAAAAAAGTGACAGACATTGACATAGACAATATCTATGTCAATGTGACATAGACATTGACATAGACAATATCTATGTCAATGTGACATAGATATTGTCATATTGACACATGACAATATCACGTGACATTGATAACCCACAAGAAGGCTTATACTTCCGGGTCATGTCATGGTTCATATAATCTCTCAGTAGGCCTATTTTAGATCAATTATTTTTATCAATTACGGTTCTATGCAAATGGATTAAGACGCCACCGCCTCTCTGTGGCGTGTGGGAAAATTTGTTATTGCATTCAATCATAGTTGTCTTAATCACATTATCTCAAAGCTGTCTTTGAAGTGTTGAGATATATATATAAGCTTATTTTAATCTCAATTTTATGGTTTGAAAAAAATTTTGAGGAAAATTTTATGGCTTTTTAAGGTCAATTGTATCGTTTATGAAGCCATTATCAAAGTTTTACATAAATGATATAGTTTATGAGATAAAATTTCTATTGTTGTAAATCAGTTGAGGTACAATTTAGTATAGTATATTTATATTTACAAGGCATTATAGTGCCAAGGCATTATATATTTACAAGGCATTATTATTTACAAGTATATTTACAAGGCATTATAGTGAGTATATTTAGGTCAGCTTAAAGGCGGTAAATCGGAAATTAAGTTGTAATGTCTAGAATACTAAAAAAAAAATTTATACCCTACAAAATATATACAAAAATCACTAATAATTTGCACAAATAATTTGAAAAAAAAATACTTTGCATATTTACGTTCAAAAACACTATAATACCTTGCAAAAAAAATACTTTGAAAAGCACTAATATTTCCTTTATACGTTTGTCATACTATCCTTCATTTCTATCCTTCATTTCTATCCTTCATTTCTATCCTTCATTTATCTATTTCCCCCCCCCCCTTCATATTTCATTTCCCCCCCTTCATTTCCCCTCTATTTCCCCCCCCCCCCATCCCCTTATCTCCCCCTCTCACCCCTTCTTCCCCCCCCCCTTCCATCAGGTGTGGTTGAGTCCGAAAGAAGATTGAAATGTAAGCAACTGCAGAAAAGCATCTTTTTTTATCTTATCTATATCTATTTTATCGTATCTATTTGTATCTTCTCCCACTACCCCCTCATAACACCCCCCCCCCTTCCTCCACCTCACCCCCTCCCTCCTTTTCCCTCCACTTTAAGGATCCCGGGTTCGATCCCCGGCGGAAGCGGAAACAAATGAGCAGAGTTTCTTTCACCCTGGTCCCCCTGTTCCACCTAGCGGTAAATAGGTACCTGGGAGTTAGACAGCTGCTACGTGCTGCTTCCTGGGTGTGTGTACTCATCTATTTGTACTCACCTATTTGTGCTTGCAGGATCGAGCATTGACTCTTGGATCCCGCCTTTCCAGCTATCGGTTGTTTACAGCAATGACTCCTGTCCCATTTCCCTGTCATACCAAGTTTTAAAAGTATGAATAATAGTGTGTGTGTGTGTGTGTGTGTGTGTGTGTGTGTGTGTGTGTGTGTGTGTGTGTGTGTGTGTGTGTGTGTGTGTGTGTGTGTGTGTGTACACACAACTCAAAATAGAGTGTTTTTCTATTCTTTAGATGTGCGACACATTTCCTATATTATTAATATATTCCTTTTTTAATTGGTTTACACCCCCCCCCCCCCGGCACCACCACCACCTGTTTACCTTCCATCTCTCCATCTTGGCACCTTCCCTCCCTCTCCCTCCCTTCCCTCCCTACCTCCCTCTCTCTCACTCTCCCTCCCTACCTCCCTATCTCCCTATCCGTACCTCTAGTTACCTATCTTCCCCTCTGCCTTTTTATGAATAAAGTAACTCTTATGTAACCCTCTTCTATATATTATATATATATATATATATATATATATATATATTATATATATATATATATATATATATATCATGGTAGCAGTGATGTGGTGGGAAGATCCCATACCCCCACGTGGCCTGGGTTCGAATCCTTTGAGGGGGGTCATGGAGGTGTATAGTGATTTCTGAGCTTGGCAACCAGTCAAGCTTTGTTCATACATCTGTATGTATGTGTTTTATATACTTGTGAATGTGTATTAGTTGACATGTGTGTGTTGTTTGACTTTCATGTATATGTATGATTATATGTATCGGCTTTATAAGTGTGTTTTTTTGTGTGCTTGAAAGTGTTTTTCTTATATTGTATTCAATTTTAGAAACTATATATATATATATATATATATATATATATATATATATATATAATATATATATATATATATATATATATATATATATATATATGCCTATACACATGTTAAGGGCACCTATCCTCGTTTCAGGAGGTCAGCGTTTAGGCCTAAATGATCTTCCTAATTATCCTCTGGTGGGGTCAACCCTGGGACATTTTTGGACCACAGAGCAGTGTCCCTTCCGGTTTAAATTTGGGGATTTTGAGCCAAGATTCTTGAGCCTAGCGTCAAGATTAGACTGACACAATTCCTTCCACTGTTGTTCGTATTTGGTAGTAATTGTGTTTTAAAAAAGGGGGGAGGGGTCTTTTTAAGCATACACCCCAGCAATGTCATGCTTCTCTGGCATGCTTTAGAGGACTTTTTTAGTTTAGAGGTTTAGAGAACTCTAACTTTAGAGGAGTGCCTTCCTGACCCCCTCGGTAGGTGCCTCACTCAGCGTGACAGAGTGACATTCACGCCCACAACAGCCCCCCACAGGTCGTGTTGCTGTAACTAATAAGCACTTATCCCACCCACCCTATACGCCCCCCATAATCCCCACCCCACGCCCCCCACCCCCCACGCCCCCTCCCCACGCCCCCCATCCCATAATCCCCACCCCACGCCCCCCACCCACGCCCCCCTCCCCACGCCCCCCATCCCATAATCCCCACCCCACGCCCCCCATCCCAGCGCCCCCACCACCATTCTCACCATAGATTTCATTCCTACTTCGTTCTCAACTATTAACACTCAAAATACACACTAA